ATTTGGAAGCCTTAGATTCATGATATATAAATTTCCAATATGGGTGTAAGCGAATTTGACCACACCAAGACAAATCTACAAACATATTTTAACACAAGAAGTTCTAGAGTAAAAGCTAAAAGTGGAAAACTCAATCACCATTCAACATGGTACATTAGTAGGAAGCACTTGCACCTTCGCTTCAGATTGCAAAACATAACATGAATAGGATATTCAGAAACTATATAAGAAGACAGCAACAAAAACAAAGAATCTCAATTGCTAGGAGTCTGTTGTAACTAAGTTAAAACTTCTATTTCATAGACTCTTTCCCCACAGAAAGTATAAGAAAATACAAAGCAGCCAACCTGCAATCGTATCCAGTTCTTTATGGCACCAAGGTAATTCCCCAGATGTATCGATCCAGTAGGCTGAACACCGGAGACTATTCTCTTCCTGTTTAAAGAAAGAAAAAAAAAGCACAACATTCTAATCACGAAAATCATAAACTATCATGGTGATCTGAACTTTCAAATAACCAGCGAGTGTGTAGCACTTTGCATAAATGCCTTTTTTTGAAAATCACCCTAGAGAGGTTCAGATGATGCCTCGTGGTACCATAAACCACAAGCATCGTATTTCTCCATATCTTGAGGCATGCCCAACAACTTCATAACTTATTGATAAAGATGTTCATTCTTAGAATTTTTCATTTCCACAAGTTAAACAACATAATACCCATACCCATTGTAATCCCACAAGTGGAGTCCGACGATTCCACAAATTAAACTAGGTTTAAAATAGATTGAAAATAAAAATAACAAAAGCTTCTACTTTCCGAAGTACTGATAAATGAAACCACATAATATGGGTATAAAGTGCAAGAAGACTAAAAGTTAAGAATTAGACATAAATCATACAACTATACTGTAAAAGTTGCGTGATTGCTTAATTATTACTCTTGTAAAACACAAGCTTTTAGCATTGTGGAACAGCATAACCATTAAGATTTGGAACCAATCACTGATTGTTGTGGATTAATTATACTCTCTAGTTCAAAAGGCCGAAGACCATTCCAGGACTGCTGTGAATGCTGAATTGAGGGGGAAATCAATTGTTATGAATTTACTCATTCATTAACAATGACAGGCACAAATCAACTTAAAATCACCTAGAAGTAACAAATCAACCTTAAAATTGAACTTTTCAAACATTAAAGTTCAAGCTGGATAAACAAGTCAAGCAGTGCAGAATAAATGATCAAACACACTAATTTGACAATTCACACATGAATCAAGAGTTTGTACAAATTAATCAACAAGCCCATTAATTACCAAGCTGTCAAACTGAAATGCTTGAAGAAAGCAATGAAATATCTGAGTTTTTTTGTCCAATTAAAAAATTTATCTCTCAGTTGCATTACACAAAGTGGCAAGTAAATCACAATCAATTAATTGAATCAGCATGTCCTTTAACAATCAGGCTATCAAATCGAAATGCTTGAAGAAGGCACTGACATATCTGTGTCTTTTGTCCAATAAATCTCGGTTTTTCGAGTTTCATACTTGAACTATCACCAAATGTTTATCGAAACATACTACAACTATCAGTTCTTCCCTTTTCTACCTGAACAATGGTGATATTTCAAGTAGTAAAGGGAACAACGGATAGTTAGAGTGTGTTTCAATAAACATAGTTCAAGTACTAAACTCGAAAAAACAGTGTACTTCATTTGTAAAGCCCATTAACTCTTGATATTTATCAGTTTGCATTACACAAACTGGCAAGTAAATCACAATCGAGTATCATTCACTAATTCATATGTACAAAACAAATCCAGTTTACATAATTCGAGCTGCATTACCTTACAGGACTTGAAGAAGACTCAGAATTCACAGGTTCAGATACCGCTACACTACTGCAAAAGCACCGGAAATCTCCACTGGCTTGTTGACGAATTATCCGTGTTCTTCTCAAGTAACCACCGATACTTAACCCGCAAGACCTGCTAAATACAAATAAATCGAAACAAAATTGAAGATAATCAATGGATAAACGGAAAATCAACAGAGAATGAGAGTGAGAGAGAGAGATGAATACGCTGAAGAGGCGAAACGAGGAGCAGAATAGGTGACCATACTGAAATGCGAGAGAAGAGAACGACCCATTGGTGCAAAGCTATATGGATGAGATGCTGAGACTGAACAATAAAAGAGGGAAAGATGAAATTTAGGAATAAAGAGAGAATTATAGAAATAACTTTAATATGTATAGAAAAAGCTTACAATGAAAGAATAAAACGCATTTATTGAATGCGATTTATGAGTAAATTTTGTGTCTTCTTATTTATTATTGAAATTACTATATTATACTTTTTTTATAATTTTATTTGTCCAGTATTTTTAAAATTTATTTATTTATTTTATTTATTACTTTTATAATATAAAGATAAAATATTAATCTTTCTTGATATTATTAAAGTTACAAATGAAATAAATAAATATATTTTAAAAATAATGGACAAATAAAATTAAACGAAAAGGGTAATAGAGTAATTTCAATAATAAATAAGAAAGACAGAGAATTTTACTCGTAAATCGCATTCGCTGAATGTGATTTATGCCTTTCATTATTAGTTCTTTCTATTTAGGTATCTGAGAAGGGTTTTTTCAAGTTTTCAACGACATGACGTTTGTTTTAAAAGATAAAATATTTATCTATTCTTGATATTATAAAAGTAATAAATATATTTTAAAATAGTGGACAAATAAAATATATTTAAAAAATAATGGAAAATAGAATTAAACGAAAGGGTCTTGATATTAATTGAATGCGATTTATGAGTAAAATTATGTGTTTTCTTATTTATTGTTGAAATTATTATATTACCCCTTCCATTTAATTTTATTTGTCCACTATTTTTAAAATATATTTATTTATTTCATTTATTACTTTTATAATATCAAAAAAAGATAAATATTTTTTCTTTTTAAAAAACATCATGTCGTTGATAACTTGAAAAACCTTCTCAGATACCAAAATAGAAATAATGAGAATGAAAGGCATAAAACGCATTCAGTGAATGAGATTTATGAGTAAAATTCGGTATCATATTATTTATTGTTGAAATTACTATATTACCCCTTTCATTAATTTTATTTTTCTACTATTTTTAAAATATATTTATTTATTTCATTTATTACTTTTCTAATATCAAGAAAAAAATATTTTATCTTTAAAAAAACGTCTTGTCGTTGAAAACTTGAAAAACTCTTATGAGATACCAAAATAGAAAGAGTTGAGAATGAAATGCATAAAACGCATTCCTTGAATGCGATTTATGAGTAAAATTTTGTGTCTTCTTATTTATAGTTGAAATTACTATATTACCCCTTTCATTTAATTTTATTTGTCCACTATTTTAAAAATATATTTATTTATTTCATTTATAACTTTTATAATGTCAAGAAAAGATAAATATTTTATATTTTAAAAAAGGTCATGTTGTTAAAAACTTGAAAAACCCTTCTCAGATATCAAAATAGAAAAAAACTGAGAATAAAATGCATTTAGTGAATGTGATTTATGAGTAAAATTTTGCGATTTCATAATATCAATAAAAGATAAATATTTTATCTTTTAAAAAAACATAATGTTGTTGAAAACTTGGAAAACCCTTCTTAGATACCAAAATAGAAAAAGCTGAGAATGAAAGAAATAAAACGCATTCAACGAATGCGATTTATGAGTAAAATTATGTGTCTTCTTATTTATTGTTGCAATTACTATATTACTCAATTGAAAATCACTTAGAAATACGGTAACAAACCAAATAAACCATTTAGATGAGTTGATAGATTGTATGGTGCTCAATATCAATACTAACACATTGTAGATTAACCGAAAGTTTGAGATTGCTAGAAATAAAAATATGAAACTAAATCATAAGTCAGGAATTTTATATATCGAGTGGTATAAATATAATTTATTAATTTATTATCGGGTTATCGATTAGCTTGTTAAAAAAAAACTTCAAACTGTTAAGAAACAATAACCCGATAATAAAAAAAAATCAAAACGTTAAACTAATAAAAAATTTCGATTCGAGTTTTCAGTTCCGACTTGATTTTGAACATGCCTACTTTATTAGAACAACATATCAATTGTAGATTCATAAGTGAAGTTTGAAAATACAGTGTGTATAAATGAAGCTTTACCTTAAAATTTATATTGCGAAAGTAAATAAATTATTCTAATAGATTCATGATTCAAATAAACTATATCAAAAATAATATGAAAGGAAATACAATAATAAAAAAGGCAATTAAAAAATAGAGAAAAAGGACGATAATATGAATAAATAACACAGTAATAAAAACAAATGAATAAAAAATTTAACACAAAAGTATACTGATAAGATAAATTAGATAATACTCAACTACCTTCTCATACATTCTCAAACAAATATGTTGAAATTAAAAAAATAAATTTTTTTTTTTATACCCCCAAGGCTTTCACCTTTTAATTTTTAATGCGACTGAAATTCATGCAGTTGAGATCGAAAGTGAAGAATAATTTTTTTTCTTTTTTTTCATATTTCAAATAACCAACAACATATTCAGTGAATTTTTATAAAGTGAGATTCGAAGAGGATAAAGTGTACATGGTAGATAAATTGTTTTCGAAAGACATTCGGCTCAAATAAATCAAAGCACTAACTAAAAAGATGGCAACAAACAGAAACATGACGATTAATAGCTAAAAATGCGAATATATATATATATATATATAAATCGTAACAACAACAATTACCGATCACCTAAACACATGAATAAGCGATATTAAACATTAAAAATCAAAGATTACATAAATATACCACGATGTCACGATACTTTATACTACCACTAAGTCAAATACATAATAGGCTAATAACCGAATATTAAGTTAATAAATGATTATGATATGAGTGATGATGAGACTACTTGATCCTTAATTCGATATCTCCTCCTCTTATTGGGGCACCCAATAATGTTTAGCGAGTTCAACGTTAAACCTCAGTTATCTTCGCGGTTGATTTTAACTACTTGTGCCGCTACTTGCAGACGGCGTTTTAAGGATCTCGCAGGTTCATTATGTATCTACTCGCATAAAATGCTATAGTAACATTTTGGACTGAATCGAAGTACGCCAGAGAAGCAACGAAGGTAGAAAAAAATGGAGAACGATAGAATTCTAGAGAGAGAAAGGTATCAAATGGAGCAAATACGGGAGCTTGAATCGGAGGAATTGCAAGTTGAAGAAGTCGATGAAGAATCATCAGACGATGAAACTAAGTAAAATTATACATTTTTACTTTTGCATTTTGATTTGTTGTTAAATTTGGGTGGTGATCGTATTTTTTAGGGTTTTTAGTTTGATTTATTATCAGTGTATTATGGCTTTTGGTATCAATGTTTGCATGTTTTGTAGCCTTGTGGTTTTGTTGTTTTCAGATTGGAGTAGTTTTTGAGATATTTATATGCTTAATTTATCTATATCATATCATGTATCTGCAAATTGGAAATGGAAAGTGAAACCGGATCATTTTGTGCTTACCTAGACCAATTCCACGGGATACCTATCACCTCACATCAGCTACAAGTATACAAGTATCAGTAACTTTCTCCACCAAGGTTAGAGCAAATGAGAAGAACATGAGACCTCATGGTGCTCAACCACTTCATTGCCTATTAGGCCACACCCTTGGGGGTGCAAAAATTCCATAAATTGTAGTATTAATTTTCTTTGCTTGGGTACCCAAATAAAGGAGAGAGAAGTGAAATGTTGGCAATTGGATGACCTGGAGTATTAGAACTTAGAAGTATGTCTATTCTCTTATGCGAACTGGGATCACTTTTGAGAATGCCTTTTAGAAATTTACTTGGACTGTAGGTATCATCATAGTAAGAGAAGAATTTAAGAGAGAGATCTTTGTTCATTATTCAGATCACTTCTGTTTTACCTCTAGATTTGTCACCTATAAACTAGTCTGTCCAGTGCTGCCTATCTACTTCATTTTTTTTTTTGGAGGGATACATCTTTATCTTTGGATCATTTAAAATAGGATGGATTTTTCATGTTCCTTGCATAGGTTTGTGTCTGATAGTTACATCAATGCAATATCATGTTGTGTATGTTCAAACATATATCGGTAAACAAAAATAAAATAAAATTGGGTGGGGGGGTTATAAGAACTTGAAAGATTATAAGTAACTTAAGCCTAGTAGTCAAAGCATGTAGAACTATACTTTAGTTGGAGCCGAAGAATGTGGTTTAGCGGACAGTGAATTGGGACCAAAACCACAAGACCATGTTCAAATCTCAGCAGATAGTTCAGGTGCGTCCAAGTTTGCCAAGAAACTAATATATCCAAACATAAGTTGGAGGATTGTCAGTCTGATACTTCTAACACAGTCCCCAATGTGCTGATCAATATATTTTGTCTAATAATCCCTCTGATTATAATATGTCGGTGCTTAATTGGGTGTGGAGTTCAAGAAAGAACACACATATGACATACTAATGGTACCCTGGAAGTTGGAACTGCAGTGTTAGACATTCCACAACATTTTGATGGCTATAAGAATTCATTAAAGGTCAAATGAGAGGTTTAAAGTTGAAGAATTTTCAAATATGGAAAGTTGTCATGCTTGCTTTTTTTGCATCCAAGGGCGTGGTCTAGTGGTCAATAAAGTGGATTGAGAACTATGATTGTCTCAGGTGTAAATTCCATCAGAGACATAACACTACATGATTTCTTACATATGTCCTAGCCTTGGTGGATAGAGTTACATAGTACCTGTTGCAGGTGGGAGGTGACATGCATCTATAGAATTAGTCGAGGTGCTCACAAGCTGTTCCAGACATCACGATTACTAAAAAAATTTGTTGTCATGCTTTTTTGGAATAGACTAAAAATGGAACAAGTGCCACATAAAAACTGAAAGGGAGGGAGTTACTCTTTTTCAGCTATGCGATCTAATGGATTTTCATTTTCTCATTACAAGTATCAATCAAGAATTTCTTTACTAAAAGTACCAGAAATGTTTTTTTTTGTACTTGGCTTCTGATTGTAGTTACCGTAGTTCGGGGGGAGCATCTGCATCTGGTGAATTTACTTACAACACCTCGTTGGCTGCCTTACATTCTTACCTTGGTGGTAGGTGTAATCTGCTCTTCCATTCTCATTTTTCATTTACTTTTTTGGGATGATGCAACTTTCATGTTATTTGACTTATTTTTTAAACATTTTCTTGTGTCAGATGTTGAAGATACTCATAACAGGCTGGCCTTCTTGGATGGAGGAGCTGTCTTAAATGTTCCTCTGTTCTATCTTGAAGGTAAATTTATTACTCGGTTTGGACTGTCTTTTTTTCAATTAAAAGTATTTATGGAGGAAAAGGAAATATGACCATTAAATGTATGAAACACGTTGTCTTGTTTGTACAATTGTAGATGTGAGGTATAACTGCTACATGATGTTTGTGAGTTCAACTAGATCCTATATTTTTGTAGTTTGAGAAGTGACAGCGGTGCATGAATCTTTTACCGTTAATACATGGTATTTTTGTTACTTGATCCCAAATTAGTATGTAAACTTTTCTTTCAGCTCAACAACTGTTTCAGAGTTCAGATTTCTACGGAGCAAATGTTAACTCATGTGTGTTTGTCTTGGGTAGTTTAACATCCTTCACAGTGTCTTATGTGCTTTATTTTACTTCCAGGAGTTGTTTTATTTCCCGAGGCCACACTTCCTTTGCGAGTCATTCAGCCTAATTTTATAGCTTCTGTTGAAAGAGCACTGAGGCAAGTTGATGCTCCTTACACGATCGGCGTGGTAAGTGGATGCCTAATGGCACTGATGTTTTGTTCTCTTTCCCTAGATTTTGTTTCTCTTTGAGTTTTGAGTGGGATTGATGGTAAAAATTTATTCCAGATCCGAGTTTACAAGGATCCAAATAATGGTAGGATGAAACTTGCAACCACCGGTACAACTGCTGAGGTAATGAAACTTGAATCCTCTGCCTTTGTTGATAGTTAATTTTGTGGATCCTCCGTCCTTTTATAGTCTAATTGATTATATTTCCTAGAAACTGGTAGAAATGTTTCTGAGCGTTAATAAGTAGACAAGAATCTCAACTGTTTCTGAAGAAGAAATTTCATGTTGGTTTTGTGACATTCCATCTTGTTACTAGATTTTTTGCAGATCACATTTATTTCTCGTGACTGGTATAACATTGAAAGATTTCTGGGTCTAGTAAGAATTTCTAGTTCGACATAATCTAAATTAGAACATATTGGAGCTTCCTGGTTTTAGTTTATTTGAAAAAAAACATGTCCTAGAAGCAGATCAAATCTGTATTGTCATATCTTTTTGGTAATACATCCCTCTTTTGTGAAGTGGGAACTTCCGAGGTGCATACAGTTAATTGATGGCAAGTTCAAAATGGTAAAAGCAATGTTAAAGTTCTTTTCTTTCTGTTGTATATGTTAGTTGCATGAGTGAGTTGTATTTGTTTCTGTTATTCCCTCTGTGCTTTCGATGTCACCACTCATGGTTGCTTGGGTTATTTAAGCTTAGAGTTAATTGCCTATATATTTGTGTTACTCAGAAGACTGGTGGAAGAAACTATCTTGTTTTTTTTTTTGGAGCAAAAGTGATCCCATGTAATCTTTGCTGTTACAAAACATTCAAGTTAATTATGGACAATTAATGAATTTTCCTTGGAGCTGGAAGAAGTTTCCAATGCCCCAAAGATAGCAACCAGGACTTCCAATATTGGAGCAGATTGTTAGTGCTAAAGGATAATTTTATATCAAAGATGATCTTGCCTGTAACTAAAGGACACAACTGAAAGATATACATCCTTCCAGTGAAAGCTGTTTAGTGTGGATTACAAAATGCATGCATATTGAAGTATGGAAATGATTTATGTTTAAAATAGTATGAGCCTTGGGACTGTTAGAAGGTTCTCCATTATGAGAGTGATGTAAGTTAGATAAAGGGTGAGCATTGCTGCAATTATGATCTAAAAAGTGGCTAAAATTTGACACAACTTGTTCTGCTACAGAATGAATGTAACTTCAGATAAAGGATGAGTTTGTCACATTAATAAGGTATTTCCATTACAAAATTGATGATATATTTAAGGACCTTGCTAGCACCCAAGGGTATGGGCTACTGGTCAATGAAGTGGATATAGTACCATAAACCCAGGTGATTTCTTCCCCTTTGCCTAAGCCTTGGTGGGCAGAGATACTTGGTACCTGTGGAATAGTCAAGGTAATCTCAGCTTTCTTACACATAGACATAATGATATTGGTTGGTTGCCAGAAGAGCATGCTCCACTCATGAGAAATTGAAAAGGAGGGGTTTCTATATTGCTTCTTGGTGCTCTCTCTGTAATGAGACTGAGGAAACCAACAACCATTTGTTCCTCCATTGCAAAGTGCCAACATAATTGTGGAACCTTTTTTTGGGACTAACACATACAGAATGGATTATGCCTGAGCATGCTGCAGATCTACTTAGTTGCTGGATCAGCAGAGGGGGGAGAAAATCTAAGAAAAAGTGGTGGAGTATAATATCATCATGCATTTGGTGGTGTATTTTTTTTGATAAAGGTAACATTTGTATATCAATCATCAGCTCAAAGCTGGTATCCAAAAATTTACATCATATCCTCCTTCCACACATGTATGTCGGGGATAAACAAAGGATAAAGAAAAGAAGAGAAGAAAAAAGAGAACTATCCCTGGATCCTCCTTTCACCTTTATAAGGACCCTAGAATATCTACAATAGCCACAGGGTCATCTATATACTCTGAACTACACCAATAGCAAAAAGTGATAATGCAGTTCATTTTAATCTTGTGCAGAGGGCTGCTCTTGTTATCAAAATTCCTAGAATTCCTTTCTTTCCATATGGTCCACCAAATAACAGCTGGGACAATTTTCCATCTACTCTTGTCTGTGCTGCCACTGCCCTCCATATTCCAGCTTTCTAGAGCCTGTCCTGTTCTCCCTGGAACAGTCCAACTTATACCTCTGAAGCTAGTAAACAAATTCCACAGCTTGCCAACCACTTTACAATGTAAGAACAGATGATTAATTGTCTCTGCAACCTGCTCACAAAAACAGCATCTTGGGCACATTTGTATTCCCCTCTTCATAAGACTCTCTTGTGTAAGTACAACCTCTTTCACCACCAACCAAGTAAAAACTACCACTTTATATGGTATTTTAACCTTCCATATAAGCTTCCAAGGCAGAAAGTTAACTTGGGATCCCATATGATTCATATTTCTATATGCAGAACTAACAGTGAATAAACCTTTATTATGACATTTCCATTTAAGAGTGTC